TTAAGGAAGGACCGGCTTGGCAGACCGATTTTTTCTTTATTTTTTTTACATTACGTGTCTTTGCTGCTGCGGCAAATCTTGATATTGCCACGCAGAGATGAGAGAAAAAGCATTTCTACTTGAGAAGAAGACACGCATCACTAAGTCCCCTCTACATACGAGCCCAGCGTGCCGCCTCCAAGAGTCCCCTGCATTACTGCCTTACGTGTATGAGTCTGCCGTTGACGCTGAAGGAGATGCGGGCCGGAGGGCGCGAGTCCGGCACCGTGCAGTTGAGGCGCAGAGTCTCCCCCACCGTGTACGAGTCCTGCATCCCGACGATCTGCGGCGCCCCGGGCATCTCTGCGGGAGGCGAGGCATCGACGCATTAACGGGGGATATCAGTGGCGCCTGCAACGGGGGGGCCCTTGCGAGGCAGCGAAGTGGCAGGCCGTGGAAGGAGTAACTGGTGTGGCCTTTCAGCATATGAACAGCTTTACCAAAGTTTAGCGTTATATATATATATATATATATATATATATATATATATATATATATATATATATATGTTACATACATACATGCGTGTGTGTGTGTGTGAACTGATACTGATACACCCATGACAGCTAAGCACAAGCATGAGATCCTCGATACTGACCTACGACGGTCAGGTTGGCAGACGCAAAGGAGGTCTGGAAGGTCGGCGCCTCGCTCATGACCTCGCACCGGTAGACGCCCTCGGAGACCAGGTCAATCTTCCTCAAGGTCACGATGTGTTCGTTCGACTTAGAGAGCTGCAAGGTCAAATAAGAATGAAAGAGAATAAAAGAGATACGGTTTTATGCTTTCCTTTGATAGAGAATTGACTATACATGTGTGAGAGAGAAATTCTAAGGAGAGAAAGAGTGGAAAGAGATAAACAGAGGACACTGAAGGGACGCGAGGAAGCAATAGAGGAAAGACGGATTGGAAAGAAGGAAATTAAAACTCGTTAAAACTCAACCCGCTTAAGTGAAGCACGATTGGCCAAGGTTTACGAGTGTCATCCATCTTCATATAGTACAACGTCGAGGTTTTCATCGTCCGAGCTCGAGAATGCAAGAGTTTACGCCAGACTCAACCACTCAACCTTAGCCACCTTAACATACGTGCATCTCAAAGGAAAAATACTTGCGATAGAATAAAGGAACAGCAGGAAGGGTAATCAATCTCTGCTTGGACGTCACGCCGCAGTGAGATAAAATAATCTTACGTAATCAGTGGCAGTTACGGATGGCAGCCGAGAGGGCGCCAGGTGCAGGGGCCGCCTCTGCTGGCTCCTGATTGGGGCGCTCGCACGAGGCGTAAATATCACGTGCCTTTGTACAAGATGAGTGTGTGTGAGAGAGAAAGAGAGAGAGGGAGGGAGAGGAGGGGAATAGGAGAGAAGAGGGGAGGGGGAAGGGAGGAGAGGGAGAGAGAGAAAAATAAATTTACAGTTTGCTAATAAGTTGCTACTGAAACCTCATCTTTTCTTTCAAATCTTCAAGTCTTCCTTTATCACATACTTTACCATCTCTCTATTTCCCCCCTCTTTCTCTTCCCTTGGCACTTCTTCTCTACCCCGTTCCCTTTTCTTTCCCCTTCTTTCTTCTCTCTTCGTAAACGTCGTGAATTGTTGCTCCTGTGCAGTTTAATTACACATTATTACATACGGCAACTGAACGAAGGAAATGACGAGATTGTTATTCTAAAGACACAATGTAAATTAGGATTTTGATTTTTTTTTTTTTTTTTGGGGGAGGAGGGAAGAATGATTTTTTTTTTGGGGGGGGTTAAGATCATTAATCGTGGAACTGGGAGAGGGAGAGAGAGAGAGAGAGAGAGAGAGAGAGAGAGAGAGAGAGAGAGAGAGAGAGAGAGAGAGAGAGAGAGAGAGAGAGAGAGAGAGAGAGAGAGAGAGAGAGAGACAGAGAGAGGAGAGAGAGAGAGAGAGAGGATGGAGGGAGGGGGAGAGAGAGAGAGAGGGGGGGAGTGGAATAAGATTTACTGCCAATATAACTTGTCTTGTTACATATTCACTTTCCTTTCCCTCTATCTATCTATCTCTCTATCTATTACTCCCTTCCTTCCCTTCCTTCTTTTCCTTCCTTCCCTTCCCTTCCCCCCCCCTCCCCCTGCCCCTCCCTACTGACGCAGGGCCACTCACGTAGACCGTCACGCCGGGGAGGTTGTGGTCCACCTTGACCTCCGGGTAGTTCTGCGGGATGAAGCTGTAGAACTGCTCGCCGTCCTTGTACCACCTGACGGAGTAGAAGCCCTTGACGCCCGCCGACCAGAGGCACTCCAGCTGGGCACTCCGGCCGGAGATGCCCGGCTGGGGCACCTTCACGTCGTGGACCAGGACGCCCTCGGCTCCTGTGGGGGAGGGAGAGCAGAGGGCTTCGTCAGGAGGGAGTGTAAGAGGAAGGGGAGGAGGGGGGAGGGGGAAATCAAGGGAGTGGGGGGGGCATCAAGGAGAAGGGGACTAATTTTCAACTAAGTTGTGTGTGCGTGTGTGTGTGTGTGTGTGTGTGTGTGTGTGTGTGTGTGTGTGTGTGTGTGTGTGTGTGTGTGTGTGTGTGTGTGTGTGTGTGTGTGTGTGTGTGTGTGTGTGTAATAATAATATAATATGATAATAATTAATATTATTATAATAATAATAAAGAGTTTATCAAGTAAAGTTTTAGTTACAAAGTAAAATTGTTACTTTACAAAGTTATCACTGAAGTGTCTAATACAATAGGGTATAGTAGACATATAATATCTGGATGTATGACACTTTGGTTCACATAACAATATGTATGTATGTATGTATATATGTATATATATATATATATATATATATATATATATAATATATATATATATATATATATATATATATATATATATATATATATATATATAGGCACGTACATACATAGATATAGATATAGATATAGATATATGTATATATTCATATAAGTTTGTGTATATATATATATATATATATATAAAGATATAGATATTCAGATATAGATAAAGATATATACATAGATTTAAACGTGTATGTGTGTATGTGTGTGTATAAGTAAGCCCACATATTTGTGTTCGTTGCGTGCCAAAGGCCATGTCGGCGCCCCCCCCACCACCCCCGGGCGGCCGACGAGACCCGGCAGATGGCGCGTAGGTTGAACTTTGTTAATAATAAAGAATAATAAAATAATAAAGAGACAATAAATAAATAGATAAATAAAGAATAATAAAGAGACAATAAATAAATAAATAAAAATACACTCTATGACAGAGCGAGTGTTGTTTGACATCTCCATGGAAACGTGTCGCTTTTAGTGGTTCTTCCTTTATTACACTGAAGGTTTTATTCGCAATAAAAATGTACCTTTTGTTATGACTTGTCTTCTAAAAATACGAAATAATGATATAAATCTTATTTAGAGCAATAAAATATATAGATATACACGTTACAATAATCATTATCCTTATCATCAGTATTACCATTATCATTATTATCACTGTTATTATTATCATTATCATTATTATCATAATTATCATTATCATTATCATCATTATCATTATCATAATTATCATTATTATTGTCATTATTATCATCATCATTATCATCATTTAATATCATCATCATTATCATTATTACCATAATTATTATTATCACCATTTTCATCACCATCATCAATATTATCATTACTACCATCATCATTATTATCATCATCCTCGTCATCATTATCCCTATCATATACTGTTATCACCATTATCCTAACCTTCTAGCAATAGTAGAATAAGTAATATTCCTGATATAATGACCATCATCATCATAAAGACTCGCTGCTCTTTATTAATTCCTATAAACACCAGATTTTCAACATTTTTGCCCCAAAATCCGATTTCGGGAGCACCGGTTTGGCCCCAAAGCATTCTTAATAACTTCACCACAAGCGACAAAAAAAAAAAATGAAACACGACATAAAAAGCTTTTTTTCCGAGACAGCATTTCGCCAAAGCTAATCTCACTTAACTTAACTTAATGACCGAACCAAAATTAAGCTTTGGGGGGGGGGGGTAATTAACCGCATCTGAAACGAAGCTGCTTAATTGCCACTAATGTAATCTTGCTCAGGTCGCCACGCGGGTCATGAGGCCGATTCGAATCTAATCTGGGTGGATTCTGATAATTATTTTTATCTCTTTCGCTTCGTCTCCTTTTTAGTTTTGTTATTATTTTGTTGTTGTTGTTATTTTTCATCTTTTTCTCTCTTATTCTTGTTTTTCTTTTTCATTTTCTTGTTCTTGTATTTCATTTTCTTTTTCTTCTACTGTTTCTCCTTCACTTTCTGCATCTTCTTCATCTTCATCTTTGTCATTGTCTTTATCTTTATCCTTTTTATCTTTGTCTTTATCTTTATCCTTATCTTCATCTTAATGTTTGTCTTTGTCGTTATCCTTATCGTTATCTACATCTTTATCTTCATCTTCTTTTTCATCTTCTAAGGTTCTAAGTTACGATAAGGATGACCCAATGTAACCTTAATCATAACAAGATATTAAGTATATAGTAATAACCTGCTAATAACTACATGGTAATAAGAACAAAACATTAATAACAAATGATAATAAAATTCTAATAACTACATAACATATACACTAATTATTATATGATAGTAACCTACTAATGAGTACACATTGATAATACACAACATACTAACTACAGAATAACAATTTGACACATCATGAAAATTCACCGCATCCATCCACTCTTTATCACAACCAATGGAATTCAATTTTCAAAAGCTCCGCTCATTCAATCCCCCATGATATAATCTATAATCAACAAGATTAAATCACCCTCCAATCACACAGATTAGAGACAGCTGAGTGTGAGGAGGAAGCATGTCGACACCATTGCCTACTAAGCGACCTTGACTTCGGAAAAGTGTCAAAGAGCACAAGGATGTTTTTTTCACATTTCCCGTTGATTTCTGTTAAATTCTCATATCCTCAGTTGAAGTGTAGAAGTGTAATTGTTAATTCTGTCTATTCGTTTATTTGTTTATTTGTTTGTTTGCTTGTTTATTGTCTTATTTAGGAATTTATGCTTCTTAATTTGTTATGCAAGTTGGGGGTGTTCATACCTTTTCTTGCAAGGCAAAAATATCTTTAAAAGAATGATGAAAGGTATCTTATTAATATAGTTGCCTTTATCAACTGGAAAAGAGCGTAAAATGAATAGCTATCTGTCGAGGTATGAAATATTTGATTTGAAATAAAATAAAAAATGAAATAAAAAAGATGAATAAAACTAGAATAGCAGAACATTATTTTTTACCTCCCCCTCCGAATCACCCCACTCCTTCTACCCCCCCCCTCCCCTCCCGTGAGAATCCCTGATAAGAGAACCTGAAGGAGAGTATCCTCACGAGGAGAATGAGACGTCCTAGAGCCTTATCTGAAGGACTGTGCTCCACTCTGCATGGGTATTGTGTTCATAAAGCTGTGCAGGATATATCGATGGTTATTAATGAACATTCATACTGAGTTTGATCAGATTGTGTGCGGTTACGTGGTATTAGTTGTCATTAGACTTATTAATAATGGCATTATGAACCCTATCATAATTAGCACAATTACTATTGGAGTATCGGTGTTTTTTCCTGTTTTTGTTGGAGTTATAATGTAACAGAAGCAATACCCATTATGGGCAAAGCAATGATACTGCCATCACTAATAGGAGGCGTTAATAACCTCAGCTATTATGCCAACAATATCTAATTCTGAACCAGAAAAAAAGGATTTATCTGAACCGGTTATCGCGCCCCTTGTCCACACCTCATAACCGCGGAACATCATTTACCAAGGGGAGAGAGCGAGAGGGGGGAGGAGAGGGGAAAGGGGTGTACTGGGAGAGGGAAAGGAGGGTGCATTGGGGGGAGGGGGGTACAGGGCGAGGGAAATGAGATTGGAAGAGAGGGGAGACGAGTGCACTGTGAGAGGGGAAAAGAAGGTACATGGGAAGGGGCGATGAGGATGCGTGAGAAGGGGGAAATGAGAGTAAAGAGGGAGGGGAAAAGAGGATACATGAGGAGAGGCTAGGAGCTAGAGGAGGAAGGAAGGACACAGGGAATGAAAGAGGGGGTTACAGGAGGAAGGAAGGACACAGGGAATGAAAGAGGGGGTTACAGGAGGAAGGAAGGACACAGGGAATGAAAGAGGGGGTTACAGGAGGAAGGAAGGACACAGGCAGGGGAAGAGAAGGGAGTAGAGAAAGGGAAAACGAGGTAGAAGGTGAGAGGAGAAGGTACAGGGAGAGGGGAAAAGAAGACACACGAGGAAGGACAAAGAGGTAGAAGAGGAAGGGAAGAGATACAGAGAGACGGGCAGGGGGGGGGGGGAAGCACCCGCCATCCAACCCTTCCATCTGTCCGCTTAATAAAGTCGGTCGCTCAAATAAAGTGCTTGAGTTCGAGATTCCGACACAGGGGGGAGGGGGGGGGGGGTAATAGACCCACAGGTAATCAAGGGCCGAGCGGCTTCTTCGTAAATTAGCCTCGAGGGTTTTCCTGTTCCCGTTATGGATGGTAATGGTAATGGGAATGACGATGCACTAAATCATAAACAGTATGATACAATTCAAATATTTCCGGTTTACGCTACATTGTAAAAAAAAAAAAAAGAAAGCATGATGATGATAATGATGATAAATGATAATAATAATAATAATAATAGTGATGATAATGATGATGATGATGATAATAATAATAATGATAATAATAATAATAATAATGATGATAATAATAATAATGATATTAACAACAACAGTAATAATAATAATAATAATAATAATAATAATAATAATAATAACAATGATAGCAATAATTATAATTAGTAGTAAACATTATGATACATTCAAATATTTTCGGTTTACGCTACAACGTAAAAAAAATATTAGAAATAATAATAATAATGATGATGATGATAATGATAATATGATAATAATGATGATAATAATGATAATAATAATGATAATAATAATAATAATAATAATGATAATAATAATAATAATGATAACAGTGATGATAATGATGATATTATTCATAATAATAATGATAATAATAATAATAATAATAATGATAATAATGACAATAACAACAACAACAACAACAATGATAATAATAATAATAATAATAATAATAATAATAATAATAATAATAATAATAATAATAATAATAATAATAATAATAATAATAATAATAATAATAATAATAATAATGATAATAATAATAACAATGATAGTAAAGAATGAAATAAAATCAAAATCCTTCGTCACACACACACCGCACTCACCTGAGGTCATGCACGGCAGCGCCGCGAGGAGGTACAGCAACAATCTGCAATGATGTCGGGAATAAGAAGAGGCCGAATAAATGATGGAGGAGGAGGAGAGAGGAGAATAGATTCTTCGATCGGAGAGAAGACTCATGCTTGGGACATCTGCAATGGGAGAGAAAACGAGGCATCAGTTTTTTTTTTTTTTTTTATATATATGCGTTAGATATATTTTGTTATTAAGCCCGTACTAAGGGGAGGACAGACACACTGTTTGTGTGTGTATATACACATATGTGCCACACACACACACACACACGAACACACACGAACACACACACACACACACACACATATATATATATAGATAGATAGAGAGAGAGAGAGAGAGAGGAGCGAGAGGAGAGGAGAGGAGAGAGAGAGAGAAGAGAGAGAGAGAGAGAGAGAGAGAGAGAGAGAGAGAGAGAGAGAGAGAGAGAGAGAGAGAGAGAGAGAGAGAGAGAGAGAGAGAGAGAGAGAGAGAGAAGAGAGAGAGAGAGAGAGAGAGAGACTTCTTTTCGCGCCTTTGTATCTGCGCGAATTTAATCCCCCCTCCCCCTCCCCCAAAGTCCGAAAGCAAACCCCCCCCCCCCGCGTAGGGCCGGGCAGAGCCGCGTCATCCAAGGCTCATAAACTTCCGAGGACAAACGACCCCTGAAATCCTCCGTCAGGCGCGAGCGAACGACCCCTAACGACCAAATAAGGGCATAGGCCGTCTTCGTCGCCGTCCATCTGACTCCCTTTTCATCTTCTTATTATCATCATTCTTTTTCTTCTTCTTCTTCTTCTTCTTTGTCGTCGTCGTCATCGTCATGGCCCTCGCCTGTGAAACGCTCGAGGACCCAGGGCCATTGCAGACCATAGTGGACCATCCCGGGCCATCGCGGCGCGCCCGACGAGGCACCAGAATGGCCGTAACCTCGACTTGCCGAGCCATTTTCCGTCGCTTTGTCCGCCCTCGCGCCCGCTCTCCCGCCCTCACGCCCGCTCTCCCGCCCTCACGCCCACTCTCCCGCCCTCGTGCCCTCCCGCCCTCTCTCCCGCTCTCCGCCCTCTCTCACGCCCGCTCTCCTGCTCTCCCGCCCTCGTGCCCTCACGCCCTCTCTCCGCTCTCCCGCCCTCTCTCACGCTCTCCCGCTCTCCCGCCCTCTCTCACACCCTCTCTCCAGCTCTCCCGCCTCGTGCCCTCACGCCCTCTCTCCCGCTCTCCGCCCTCTCACGCTCTCCCGCTCTCTCTCTCACACCCTCTCTCCAGCTCTCCCGCCCTCGTGCCCTCACGCCCTCTCTCCCGCCCTCTCTCCGCCCTCACGCCCGCTCTCCCGCCCTCCCGCCCTCCCGCCCTCGTGCCCTCCCGCCCCTCTCCGCCATGGCCGCAAAGGGCGTTTTCTCGCGAGGAATGTGCCGTCGAGAACTCCTTCCAGGACGATCGTAAATTCGACGCAAAGCTCATATTTCTTTTCATCTCCCCTTTCCATTTTTCGCTTCTTCCTTTCGGTTTTATCTTTTCTTTATTCCCCCTTTTCGCGTGCCATCTCATTTTACTTTATTCGTATTTTCTTTTCCGTTTTTTTTCGTTCTTACTTTTTTAGTTTCGTCTTTTTCTTCAATCCTATTATCATGCTGCTCTTTAGCTCTCCCTTTTATGTCATTTTCTCTTCATCCTTTCTTTTTTCAGAATTTCCCTTTTCCTCTTCCCAAAAGCGCTCCCTTTCCCGTGGTTTCCGCTCGCTCTTCTCGCTAGCTTCATTTTCTCCCATTATGGTTCGTTTTCTGTGTCCTTTTTAGCTCCTGTGAATACCATCCGCATTAAGCCTTCTCTTTTCTTTATTTCTTAATTTCTCGTCTTCTCTTTCTCTCGTCCTTTGCATCTTATCTTTTATTTTCATTCTTCCGTTATTTCTTTCATTTTCAACCTCGTTCTCTCTGTTTTCTTCAACCTCCTCCTTCCTTTTCTTAATTTTCGATCATAGTTTGTTATTTTAGTTCTTGTCTCTTCTATCTCCCTTCGTTCTATTTCAGAGGTCCTCATATTTTCTCATTTTCTGCAAATCTTTTTTATCCTTTTTACTTTCCCTCTTGCTCCTCCTTTTATCATCATCACCTACTTTCTCTTCGTCCTCTTCCTGCTCGTTTTCTTCCTCCTTCCCTTCCCTCTCTACCTCCTCCTTCTCTTGTTTTTTTATTTTCCTTCTACATTTCATTTTCCTCCTCCACCTCTTCTTCTTCTTCTTCTTCTTGTCCTTGTTCTTTTTCTGCTTCTTGTTCTTCGGCTTCTTCTTCCTCCTCCTCCTCCCCTTTCTCCCTTCCTCCACCGCCTCCTCCCCCTCCCCCCTCCCCCATTTCCACCACTATCACCTTCTTCTCCACCTCCCCCTCCTCTTCCTCTCATCATCCCCTCCCCCTCTCCCATCTCCACCTCCCCCTCCCCTTCCTCTTCCTCCTTCCCCATCTCCCTCTCCACCTCCTCCTCTTCCGCACCTGCAGGAGGACCCAGTGGCCTAGGACCCACCTCGAGCTCCCCTCAGAGGGCGGGGCCACGAGGGGTCGGCCGAGGGGAAAATTAGATTCCGAGGGGAGTGGTCTGGCCTGGGTGGGAGAGGGAGGCCGGGGGAGGGGGAGGGGGAGA